AACTATAATAATGACAAATTCCTGGAAAGTCAGATTTGGAAGTACTTTTGAAGATCAGTTGGTCCAACCCCTTCATTTGTCAAATGAAGGAAGGAAATCGAGCCACAATGAGGAAGACACGAAAACCACGAAGCCGAGTGCCTGCAACTCCCTCAGCCCCCTCCTGAGGCCAGCAGACCTGAGCTGATCTTGCTTCGTGAAATCGTTGTGATCTAGGTCACATAAATCCAATGAGGCCAGCCCTGCCACCTTCCTGCAGTTGATTGGACACAGGATTTGGGCCCAAGCCAAACGCTGCTGTGAACAAGCTAGATGTGATGGAGGCCACCCGCCTGCGTGAGCCTGTCTGGTATGGGAGACATAAGCGCTAGGAGCACCCCCAGGGCACGTCACCAGATCATTGTTCCTGTTCTCCAGGGAGCTGCTTGGGGCTGCTAAGATGGCTTCCCGTAATAACTCACCTCCTCTGTGTCCTTATCATAGCCGCCATCACTGAATGTCATCTGAGCATGGCTCTTCCTTGCATACCGAAGAAGTTCATGAACATACCCACACATGGCCACTGATTTTCTGGAGATCACACAGCCGGATCAAAAGACAGCAGACCACAAAGCCTGATCTGGAATTCGGATATCACGGCCTTTCCACTCTAACATGCTATCTCACAGGCAAATATGAGAGAGAGGGCATCATGAGTGGAGGGTGACGAGAGAAGACTGCTAGCGCTGTGGGATTGAGTTCTGAGGCCTGAGTCACCATCAGAAGGATACAGTAAGGGCAGGATAACTGCCTCCTCTTTACTCACGTTGGAGATGCTGCTTAACTTTTCTTTTGGGGGGGTCTGCCTTTGCGAGTGGCTTGGGATATGGTTCCAGATCTGGATCCGGTTCCCTGCTTTGCCATTCCTTAGGCACCTGCCTTTGAGGAAATGCCTTCTTTGCTCACTAGATATGGACAGCTACTCTGTCAGGCTCTGTGCAGGGGCATGGAAATTGACCCCCATAGGCAGACCCAGGCCCTGGAGATGAGGAATCACCAAAGAAAAAATGGCACTTGAAACCACAGACGTGAGTGAAAGGGGAAGTGGCTTTCCCTCCTCATAAACCTTTAACCAGTGAATGCAGGGAAAAGAGCAACCAGAAGAGGGAGAGGGAGAACCAGGAACGAACGAAATCATGGAAGCCAAGTAGGGTGAGAATTTGAGGAGAGAAAGCATGGCGAGCTGACATGTGAGACGGGTCAAGCTGGCCGAGGGCTGGATTTGTCATGTGGAAAGTAACTGGTAATTTAGAGAGAGCGATTTCAGAAGACGGCACAATAGAAAACTGATTTCATTTAGTTGAGATGTGAGTGAAAGGTGGATGAGGTGTAGAGATGGTAGACAACGCTCTCCTGAGAAGGGGAGGAGGTTTGTTCTTTCAGTCGGAGAGACTTAAGCATGTTTGGAGGCTCAGAAGAGAACAGAGAGGGAGAGAGTGACAATATAAGAGCAAGAGGAAGATATTTGATGGTGTTTTGTCTCTAGGAAGAAAGAGGGATGGGATCAAGGGCAACAGCAGAGGGTGGACTGTGGACACAAAAAAAGGCCACTCTCTCCGCCCCCCACCCCCACCCCCCCAGCTTGGAGGGAGGTAGAGGCGACCAGGAGATTTAGTTTCCTTCCCAAAAGGGGACAGTCTTCACCATGTGAAGATACAAAATGCCTGCTACAGAACAGAGAGTTGATAAATACCAATCCTTTCCTCCCCTCCCTGGCTGTGCAGTTTCACTCCTCTGAGGCCACATGTGACATCACTCTGGAATGTCACAAGGCTAAAGAACATAGCTGGAGCTGAAGAAATTAAAGGCAATTCCAAGCTTTTCTGGAATTCCAGGAGAGGAGAGGCTGCTTTCTTCTTTCTTCTGAGGTTCCTAAGCTGGGAAGTTGTAAGCATGGATTTCCCACCATGTAGACAGAGACTGCCTAATATTGAAAGCAACACAGAGGCAGAGAGCTGAGAAATGGAGAAAGGGTGAGAGACAGAGACACCATTTGGACACACAAGATGACATCATTTTAGTGCCGGGATCTAACCATGTCTAAAGCCCCTGAACTTTCCCGTAATGTAATCCAACAAGTTCCTTCTCCCGTCCCCAAAGTCCATTTCTGTTGGGATTCTGTCACCTGTAATTGAAGAAGCTCTGACTTATACAGGAAGTGGGGTGTTGCCAGGAATGTCCCTCACACCGGGAATTGGCTGAGTTGAGGCGGGTATAGAATGATGAGGACTTCCCCATCCCAGGCTGGGAGGTCAGCATTCCCTGTGATGAGGCTGCACAGCCAGGGCCTCCTGAAGCTCAGACTATGTACCTAACATAGGTGGGAGCTTTAGGGGGCTTGGTAGAAATACGTCCGGAGGTTGCATGTGATGGCTATTTTCCCAAGCCTCCATTCAGAGTCAAAGAGATAAATTTTGCAGAGAGAATAATAAACAATAAAAGCTAACATTTCTGAGGCACTCATCGTGTGCCAGGTTCTATGCTAACTGCTCTATGCCTATTAATTCATTTAATCTTCACAGTAACACAAAGAAGGGAACACCATTGTTACTCCCCATTTTACATTTGAGGAACTGAGGCACAGAACGATTTGCCCAAGGTCACGAAGCTAAACAGGGACACAGCTGTGACTTGAATCCAGGCAGCCTGGCCCCAGAGCTCGTGTGCCCACAGCTTTGCTAAGACAGACTGTAGCCAGCAATCCAAGCTACTGCAGTCTGATGGTCACATGCTTTGCAGGCTTGAAAAAGCTCATCTCTTTATGTCAAAGCTAAAGTGAGTGGGAACAAAGGCAGGGAGGCAGGAAACACAGCCCCTCCCAAGCACTTCCTACCTGTCTCCCGGAGAGAAGAGCTACCCTATGTGAAGAACCTGCCACTGGGATGCAGCCTAGTGGTCAGGGGCAGCCAGCTGTGCCTCTCCCCCATGCCTCGTGTTCATGATTGCTCCAAGGCAGAGGCAAAGAAGGAGGCCCTGAGCCAAGGACTGGGAGGTCCTGTTACTGAGAGAGACTCCTTCCCTTCCCCTGGCATACCAAGATGAAGGCCTAGATGCAGGGACCACAACTCACAATTCTTCTGACTCGTTTATTAGCCTACAGAGTGATCCAAATGTGAATAGTCAGAAAATGTGTACATCTTTCAAGGGAGTGGTTTTGCCACAGAAACCCCAATCCTGGCACATAGAAGCCTGCAACTGATCAACCCTGAAGGCAATGTCTTGGCTCCAAACAATACCAAGAGGAAATCCTCAAAATCCTTCTAAGATGCGGCCACAGAGTGACGACAGAGAGGGGAGACTGCCCAAAATGGCAGAGCAGCCAGACGTGCCTCACTCTACGAAAGCAGGGAATCCTGGCTCTTCTTGACCTGTGGCACACAGACACACCAAGGACCGTGGGGTGTTATTTCCCCTCCTCTCCTTTTCCAGACGGGGTGGCTTATTTATAATTGTTTTGTGTTCCTTCCACCAATGCACCGAGGTATTAGGGGCTGATTAACTTTGTTATTTATCTATAGCAGTGTTGCCCAAACTTTTTTGACCTTTTTACAAAATTGAAGACCTTAAAGAGCTTTTGTTTATGTGGGTTACGTTACTGATAATTGTCATATTAGAAATTAAAATTAAGAATTTTAAATATATATTTATTTATTTTAAAATAATAAGGCCATTAATGTTAACATAAATAACACCTTTTTTCATTGCAAAATAACTACATTTTCCAAATCAAAAAAATTAGAAGAATTGCATTGTTTGACATTTTTGCGAATCTCTTTAGTATCTGGCTTAATAAACGGCTGCTAGGTTTCCATATCTGCTTCTTTATTCAACCTGTTGAGATATGTGCTTTTGGTTGAGCCTCATAAAGATACATAACTGGAAAAAGGAGTATTTTTAAAGCCTTTTTAGGTAATTGTGGATATTCATCTCTGGTACTATACCAAAACTTGACAAATGACAATTTTGTAAAATTGCATTTCAGTGTGAAATATGAAACCACATCAAAGAACTTTTTATTAAATTAAAATACAGTGGCCTATTACACTCTGAATGCATCCTTTATCCACCCATGATTTTGTAATATCACATATTGGTCACTTGGAAAACATTGGTTCACTGAATTATACAGATCTTCCCAATGTCGACACATTTCATTTTACATTAAAAAATCATATTCATTAATGTCACTACTGATCTTATCAGAAAGTCTTTAAGTATTGGGAAGCTATTAAGCTCACAGTAGTGGATACAAATTTTCCAAAAGTCTCATTTTCACTCAAAAGCTCAAATTTTATCATTGGCAGCAAATACTGTCAATTTTTTCCCCTGAATTGACAGGCTCATTTCCTTCATTTTAGAGAAAATGTCAGCAAAACCCCCACATTTGCATAACCATCATGTGTCTTGCAATCCTTCTTTCAAGTAGAAATGGTGTTCAGGAAAAAAAAGCAGCTAGTTCAGCTTGCAACTCAAACAATCGCAGGAGAGCTTTTCCTTGAGACAACTATGGTACCTAGGCATCCAGCAGAATTCTCCCTATCCTGTCAAAATATTGAAAAGAAGTATACTCAAGGGTAGAGATTTAATAAAGTTAATAATTTTTACTGTTTCGTCAAGTCATTCTTAAGGGAAACTGGTATATTTATTTCTTTTACTGTGCGTGCATCGCAGTGATGAACACAATGGCCACAAGTACAGCCTGGGGCCACTGCCTTGCTTTGTGCTCAGGGGCCAGTTGTTTTCACCCATCATTGCTTTTCTACCGTCAAGAAGGCAAAATAATGCCTTAGTACTAGTATGAAAATCAGTTTGACTTCATAGACCCTCTGAAAACTCTTGGGGACCCTCAGGGGCTTGGAGACCACACTTTGAGAACTACTAATTTAATACGTCTTTTTTGCTGAGGAATATTCACCCTGAGCTGACATCCATTGCCAATCTTCCTCTCTTTTTTCTTTTAGGTGAGTCACCACCACAGCATGGCTGCTAATAGACTAGTGGTGGAGGTCCACACCCGAGATCTGAACCTAGGCTGCTGAAGCAGAGCATGCTGAACTTAACCAGTAGGCTGCTGGGACTGGCCCTGATTTGATGCTTTATTCATCAGTTAACAAACACGTATCAAGCACCTTCTATGCTCCTGACACTCTTCTAAATGCTGAGTACTGAGTGGTGAGTTATAGGTAAGATACTTAAGGCCTCTGCTCTCATAAGGCCAACATTCTTGTAGCTAAAAGTAGAAAATTGATAAATAAGTGAACAAGATTATTTCATCTCAAGAAAAATGCTTTGAAGAAAATAAAGCAAGATAACTTAATAGAGAGTGGCTTGGGGGTAATTTACTTTCATGGTTCAATATGGCATCCACTAGCCTATGCCTACTTAAATTTAAATTTTAATTCAATTAAATAATTCAGTTTCTCAGGCTGGCCCATGGTGTTGTGGTTAAGTTCAGCACACTCCACTTCAGTAGCCCAGGTTTACAGGTTCAGATCCTGGGTGCGGACTGACACCACTCATCAGCCATGCTGTGGTGGTGACCCACATACAAAATGGAGGAAGATTGGCACAGAAGTTAGCTCAGAGATAATCTTCCTCAAGTGAAAAAAGAGGAATATTAACAACAAGTGTTAGCTCAGAGCTAATCTTCCTCAGCAAAATAATAATAATAACAATAATAATAATTCAGTTTCTCAGTCACACCAGCCACATTTCAAGTGCTCAGTAACCACATGTGGCTAGTGGCTACCATATTGAACAGTGCAGATGTAGAACATTTCCATGATTAAAGAAAGTTTTATTGGACAGCACTGATTTAGATTGTGAAATAGAGCAAAGCTCACTGCAGATTTGAGGACAGAGTATTGAAGGCAGAGGGAACAGCAAGAGCAAAGATCCTAAGATGGAAACCACTTTGGTGCATTGAAAGAAAAGAAAGAACAGCAGTGTGGCTGAAGTGTAGTAGCTGAGAGGAAAGTGGTAGGACATGCTATCAGAAAGGTGGTGGGAGCCAGAGTGTGTTGGAAATTGCAGGCCTGGTGAAGCCCTATACAGGCCATTGAAGGGAGGCGTCGATATGACCTGATTGATGTTTTTGAAAGATCACTCTGGCTGCTGTTTATAAAACAGATTGTAGGGGTGGAAGTAGAGAGGCCAGTTAGGAGGCTACTGAGTGAAGGGAGTGACAGTGGAGATGGATAGAAGCTGTTTGATTTTAGGTGTATTTTGGAGATAGAGTGACTGGACTTACAGATGGATAGAATTGGAGAATGAGACAAAGGGAGGAATCAGGAATGGCTGTTAGGCTTTTGGCTTGAGCAACTAGGTAGATAATAGTGCCATTTACTGAGATGAGAAAGACTCGGGGAGGAATGAATTGAGGAGAGTGGAACTAAGAGCTCTTCTTGGGTATATTAAGTTTGGATGGCCGGTAGGCATTCAAGTAGAGACGAGAAGTAAGTAGTCGGATGCACAAGTTTGGCACTTAGTGAGAGGTCAGAGCTGGAGAGATATGTAGGAGCCATTGATGTAGCGCAAGTATGAAAGCCAAGGGACTGGATGAGATCATTGAAAAAGACGGTGCAGGTAGAGAGAAGAAGAGGCCTTTGCCTAAATTCTCAGGCATGCCATCATGAAGGGTCAAGAGATGGAGATCTCAAGAAGTTGAAGAATTGTTAAGAAGTTATTAGAGTGAATGAGCTGGAAAGAAAGGAAGTGGGTGTCAGGGAGTAGGATGCTAAGATGTGAGGTCTTAGAGGTAGTATAGTTGTTGATGATGATAGGGTCAAGGGTTTGACCTTAGAATGGGTAGTTGACGACCGGACTTAGAGGTCGAAGTCCAAGAGAGGGAAATCAACTAAAGAGATCAAGAATGAGCAGTTATAGAGGTAGGAGGAAAACCTGAAGGGTGTGGGGTCACCGAACCAAGAGGAGCATGTTTTAAGCAGGATGGACGAGTCTTCTTGGTTGGCTATTGCTGAGAGGTTAAGATGACAACAGAAAAGTGACCACTGGGTTTAGCAACATGGGAGATGTTGGTGTCCTTGACAAGAGCAGTTTCAGTGGAGTGGTGAGGGTGGGAGCCCAAAGAGAGCAGGTTTAAGAGTGATGAGATTTGAGGAAGTAGGAAGGGGCACAGAAAAATGAGTGGCGGCTAAAGGGCAGGTAGAGTCTAGGGAGTGTTTTTAATAATTGCTTTAAGATGGAGATGTACAGTATGCTTAGGTGTTGATGGGAATGATCCATGGGAGGGGAAGCACTGGATGCAGGAGAAAAAGGATGTCATTGCAGAAGCAAAGCCCTCAATAAGGAGTGAGTTGAGCTTTAAAAGGGAGCAAGAGGACTTCATCTATGGTAACAGGGAAGAAGGCAGAGGTGCATACGAACCACATATCTCAGATTTCCTCTCTTCTCTCCATCTCTGCAACCACCATCCTGGTCCAATTCAAAGTCCCTACACTTCTCCTCTCTTACTGCACAGCCGAGCTGGCCTTCAGATGCTCAGCCCTGTGGTGGAGGCTTAGTGGCGGAGAGGCCAGGAGGCGGCTACCTGAATGGAAGGAAACAGAATGGGCCGTGGCCTCCATGAAGTGAGAGGATGAGGCATTGGGAGTCAGAAGAGGGGCATGCTGAGGGAGAGGCCCTTGTGGGATGCTTGAGGTTGGGATTTCAGAGGGAACCTTGCAAGGCATGGCCCTGGAAAGAATGGCTGGGGTCATGATGAAGGTCACTGAGGAGTTCAAGGGAGGGTATCGGAGGGTCATTCACATGGATGAGCAGGATATTAGGACAGATCACCTGACCAAGATCTGGAAACCCAAGACCTTGATGGATGGAGGGGGCTGAGGCGGGGGCAGGAGATCAAGGGAGGAGAAGAAGTGGCAGAATAAAGCCAAGTGCCAGGAGTTTCAGAGGAGGAGGAGAAAATGATACATGCACATAAGAAAACCCCTCCAAGATGTGAACGGTGCTTGTCTGTGGGAGCAGGGAGGATAATGGGCAGTCGTGATTTCTTCTTTATGCTTTCCTATTTTTCCCCTAAGTTTTCAACAGTGAGCTTTTTTTTTTTAGAAATGTAAAAGATAAAAAAAATTACAAAGAATAACAAACGCCCCCATTCACACCCTCTAGCATTTGTCATTGTAAACACGCTGAAGTCCCCTTTGATCACCTGCTCATCTCAGACCAGCATGACCAGTTGGCTTTTCGTTTTAGGTTCACATACATAGACACCTAGAATAGAATATGGCAGGGTTTGTGTGCGATTGCTTTATTTACATGGAGGGACTGTTCTTATAATTAGAAAAAAAAATTCTTTTAAGGTGAACAGGGGTTTCACAGGGACTGGAAGCCTGAAGCCCCCTCCCCAGCTGAACAGCCCAGCCCAGCCCGGGAAGACCCAGCCTCCAGGTTAAGCGCACTGGGCCGCGCCTGGTTGTTAAACGTTCCAGGAAGAGAGAGAATTACTACTTGTATGTCTCTGGCTAGGTTTCAGCCCACTCTCATATCTCTCAAGTCATTTATGCCTCAGAAATCTGGGAAGCAGGGAAGGAAATCATTATCCCCATTTGACCGATGGGGAAACTGAGGCCCAGGGAATGGCAGTGAGCTGCCAGGGTGTCACAATGAGTTGGTGGGGGACAGGTGACTAGAGCTTTCCAGAACCCCAGGCCAGTGTGCAGAGGGGTGGGGCAGAGGCAAGGGGCACCAGGTGGCTCCAACTAATGGACTTTGGCCCCGTGGCAATAAGGAAGAGAAGTGGCAATAACTTCGGGCAGCTAAGGCTGGGCCACGGCCAGGAAACTGTCTGGGGAGAAAGAGGTGGGAACATTTCTCCTCAGAGGCCCCAGAAAGCATGCCCATGCCATGGGGGCTGTGGCTCCCCCATCCCCCACCACACTCAGAAGTCAGGAGCAGCCTTCGCAGTTAGACAGGCCTGGATTCAGGTCTCACCTCTGCCACTGATTCATGTTGCATGATCTTTGAAAAGCCTTTACCTTTCTCGAGCTCAATCTTCTCATCTGTAAAACGGGGTCATAATCTCTAACTCTCAGTATTGTTCCAAGGATAAAAAGAGAGAATCCTCATCTTTGCATCTGAAAGCAGAGACATTTAAAAGGTCTGGTCCCCAACCTAACTCCAGAAGGTTCCAGATGGGCTCAGTGTCAAGGGAACTGCCTGACACCAGCTGATAGAGAGGCCACATGCACACACACACGTGAGATTTGACAGCGACTTTGCACTGACCACACATGCTCCCCAGAGCAGCCCCTGGGAGGTGGCCTTTGTCATCAGAAAGTGGTTGGTGGAATGGGGGCAGGGTGGTGGTGATGAGGGGCCCTTTCCTTTCTTTCTTTCTTTTTAACAAAAGCAAGACATGAGTGAATGCTTATTGTAAGATTCCCACAATGCGGCCATGTGTAAAACACAAAGCCAAGGCCTTCCCCTGCTCTCCTCCGGCCCACCGCTCCTGGCTTCCACTGCAGTGCTATCTCGCTCTCGGGAACAGCTTGTCCATAAACATTAAATGCATGCATATCTTTCTACTCTTTGGTATGTAAGATAAAGACCGAGAAATGGAATTGCTGGGTCACAAACACAAGTATCTGATCATTTACAACATGGATATGTACTGCCCAATTGCCCTACTAAAAGACTGTCCCCATGGACAATGCCAGCCTGGGAGGGACTAGCCCAGTGGCTTAATGAGCTGTCCCCATCTTCCCTTCCACCTTACCAGTCTTTCTCTCCACCTCACACCCTCTGTGCATTGTCCTCCTCCTGACAACAGATGACAGGGAAGCATGTCTGCCAAGGGGTTCCACACAGGCCTGCCTGACTGTGGTGGTCTGCAGATGCCCTGGGGGCTTCCCAGGCGCAGTTCCCTGTGGCTCTGCTCCCTTTGGTGTTAATGTGCTCTCCAAACTCCAGAGACCCAGCTGCCTGACTCACAAGGCACACAGCAGGCACTGGAACAGGTGTGCAGAAAGGCATGCATTTGCCGGAGATCTGGTGTCCAGGCATCAAGCCAGCCCCTGCCCTCAAGGTCACTGACCAGTGGGGTGAGGGGCACAGAGTGTGAACAGAGGCTGCCCTGATACCATGTAAGTGCCTCCCGGAGGCCTGCTCCGAGGGTTGAGAGAGCCCAGGCAGGCAGACGCGGCAGGGAGGCCTTGGTGGGAATCTAGGCTCCCTCTGACTCCACTTCTGTCTGGGCACTCTGAGTCCCCTTCTGCGTGCTGAGGGTGAACCAAGGGAGGCCATGGGTCCGTCCTGGCACATTAAAGGACCTCAGTAACTGATAGCCAGGATTAGTCAAGCTCCTACTGTGTGTTCCTGCTAGGTCGGCACTTCATAAAGATACTCTAGAGTTTCCAAAGCATTTTCATATCTCATTCTTGTATCTCATTTTGTCTCACCACCTTAGGGGACAGGAATTATGATCCCTGATTTTCCAATGAGGGAACAGAGACCCCCAAGACAGAGAGGCAAAGGGCCTTGCTCAGCATGGAGGACGGAAGACTCCCAGGCCAGGGCAGGGAGGGAAGGCGATTTGCCTGAAGCCACCATTGCTGCCCCTCCCCCTCCTCTAGAAAGAAGCGGATTCTGTGCCCACCAGGTTACAATAACCACAGCTCACACGCGTATGGCCCCCTTCTCCCTCCCCCGCCCGGATGCTCGCGGCTCCTCCGAGCCTCAGTTTCCATCTGTAAAATGGGCATCACTGGAGTGGAGGCGGGCCACGAGTGTGTGTGTGAGTCGGCACGGCCGGGCCCCGGCCCGGATCCCGGCGGGCGCGGGTGGGTGGGGCCAGTGCCGTGACTCAGCCGGGCGGGCCAGGAAGGGCTGCCCAGCCGGTCAGACCGGCCGGGGATGCAGACGAGCCGCCAGGGCCCTCCCGGGGCTGGGCCGCCCGGGGGGTGACGGGAAGGGAGGCGGGCCGGGCGCCGGGCGCCCCTGGCTCGAGGCGGGAAGTGGGCGCGGCGCGAGCTGTCCCGGGCGCACGGCGGCTGCGGACCAGGATGGGAGCGGGGCCCCCCGGCCGCCCGCAGCCTCTGGAACCCCGCTGAAACCGGCCGCAGAGACCCCCGCGCAGGAGCCAAGATGTGTCTGCGCTTCGGTGAGCCGGGGCGGGGGGCGGCAAACCCGCCCCAAATCCTCCTGCAGGGGCGGAGCACTGTAGTGGGAGCCCGGGGTCCGGGCCGCCTTCTCTGCAGGTCACTTTCCGCTCTCGGCCACAGTTTCCCCAGCCGTGAGATGGAGAGAGGAGGGCCGCTGGTATCTTCTCGATGTGGGGTCACACCTGTGCCCCTCGCCCCCACTTTCCTTTTTTGCGGAGGAGGGACTCCCTCCCCACCACCACCAGGCGGGAGAAGAGACGCTGGAGAGAGCACCCACCCCGCCTAGAAGGGAGAGCAGAGGGAGGGGGATCCAGGGCCCAGGGAGTTCTGAGTCAGAGGTGCCTGCCCTTGGGGTCCTCAATCTTGAAAGGGGCTCCCACTTCCATACCCTCCACTCCTGTAACCAGGCGGGGAGGGAAGGGCCATTGGCAAACAGGATCCAGACAGAGGAAAGGGACGGATGTGTCCCCTCCCTTCACTCTCTGGCACAGGGATGCTGCTCTTGGTTGTCAGACAGACCTGGAGAGTCCCCACTCTCTAGACAAGAGACCTTGTGAGCCTCGGTTTCCTCATCTGTAAAATGGGGAGGGTAGCACCACCTCCTAGGACTGCCATGAGAATGAAGTTAGCCCCTAAGAGTAAAGAGCTTACCACTCTGGCAGCCACATTGCTAAGTGCCCCAAGAATGGCAATTTAGAAACCAGGGAGCCAGGGACGGCCCTGAGACTGTCCAGTGTCCAGGCACAGCTCCACGCTGGCACTGTGCCTCCAGTTTGGCCAAGTCTTGGTCCTGGGATGATGTTGTTCATGAGCCCAGCCCTGAGCCAGGTGGTGTCTGGGCTGCCAGGTAGGTGGGTGGATGGGGTGAGGTGGGTCAGGCCCCCGGGACGAAGCTGCCATGCCCCTACCTGTTTGGCTGGCTTCATGGTGCCATTCCAGTTCCACGGTGCCTGTCCAGCTCATGGTCTGCCCTCTGCTTCTCCTAGACCTGGTCCAGCTCCAGAGGGTCCTGCAGGTTCCAGGGGTCTCAGAGACCAGCTAGACCAACCCCTCCCATTTTACAAATGGGGAATCTGGGGCCCAGAAAAGAGAGGGACTGGTGCAAGGTCACGCAGAGGGCCTGTAACTGAGCGGCCCCTCCCTCCCTGCCCCCTGGGGACTGCCCCTCGGCACAGATCCCCCAAGAATATTCAAGCTAGTGATTTCTTTCTTTCGGTTTTTTTTTTAGCTGCAGAGCTCCCGTATATGAAATACGATCCACCCCTCTCTGCCACAGCTGGGGAGACTGAGGTCTCGGAAGGGACTCACAGGTCCCACCAGGAGAAGCTAAACAAAGAACGAGGCTGTTTAGTTCTGGGGGCCCAGCCACTCTTCCCGTCTCTCAGAGCTGGCTAGAGCAAAGGGGCTGGTGGAGCCAGGGGGCCAGCCCGGTGTGTGTCCTTGAGGGCAGAGCCAGAACCCATGGGGAGATCCACAGAGCATATCTGGAAGAGCATGAGCTGCCCAAGGAGCAGGGCTCCCTGTTCCTGGGGGTGTGCAGATGGGGGCTGGGCAGCCACTTGGCCACTCAGAATTTGCTTATGGGTCCCCCAGCCTCCCCTGCTTGCCCCGTCCCTGCCCAGTGCCCCTGCACCAAGAGCTTGCTTTTCCCAGCACCCCCAGGGTGTGCCCCACTTCTCCATCCATCTCTTCCTGGGACCTCCTCCCCCATTGGGAGACAGGGGTTATTCTTCCCATTTTACAGATGGGGAAATGGAGACTCAGAGGCTGGAGTTTCTTGCCCTGAGCCAGTTCAGCAACTGTGAGTTGAGCATCTACTGTGTGCCGGGCCCTGGCCACCAAACTGAATCCTGAGCAGGACCCGTTCTCTGCCCAGTGAACTAGGGCTCCCTGGGGCCCGGAGGGTGACTGTCAAGCTCACCGTGGCACCTCAGGGCCTGGCACGCAGCAGGCACTCAGTGACCATTTGTGTAACAGACACATGAATATCAGTGAATGGGGAGCTTAGTGGAAGGATCGTGGAGCTAGAGACCCGAGTTCAAATCCTGGCCCTGCTACTCATGACCTTGCGCACTAACAAGGACTACCACCTTTATTAAGTACCACCTGTGCGCTTTTCCAACCCTGGGGGTATTCCAAAGACTCTCAGGAAGGCACTGTGAACCCCTTTTCCAGATAAGGAAACTGAGGCTCAGAGAAGACAAGTTCCTGGCCTCAAGTCACCAAGAAGTACACTGAGAGCCCAGTGTCCATCACTCCTGCCAGGGCCTCGGTTGTCTCCTCTGCCCAGCAGGATGACCCCCACCCAGGACCCTGACATGGCTGTCCCCCACAGGTGTCATGAGCGTAGATGACTTCCGGAAGGTGCTGATGAAGACGGGGCTGGTGCTGGTGGTGCTGGGCCACGTGAGCTTCATTGCAGCGGCTCTCCTCCACGGCACCGTGCTGCGCTACGTGGCTGCCTCCCGCGACGCTGTGGCTCTGCAGTACTGTGTGGTGAACATCCTCTCTGTCACGTCCGCCATCGTGGTATGGCCCGACTCGGGGGGGTGGCTGGCGCGAGGCGGGTGGAGGGGGCCTGAAAGATCTTTGATGAGTCCCCACCCAGAGCCTGGGGTGGGCAAGCAGAGAGCTGTGAGCCCTAACCCCCGCTACTCCACTTACCAACTCCCCAATCGCTCAACCTCTCTTTGCCTCAGCTTGCTCATCTGTAAAGTGGGGATGGTAACATCCGGTCCACCTCACAGGGTCCTGGTGAGTATTGAATGAGACCATCATATAAAGTGCTTAGCACAGTGCCTGGTACGTGGTTAGTGCTCACTCCTGAGAACTCGGATTATTGTTACAACAGGGAAATACTCAAGGCAGTGTTGGACAGAAGGAAGGAGCATCAGCTCAGTTGGGAGGGTCCAGGAGGGTTCACAGAGGTGGAGGCCCCTGAGCTGGGTGCTGATGGATGAGTAGGAGTTCAGAGATAGGCTGAAATTACCCTCACCCAGGTATGAGGCCTGCTGGGGCCAGCAGGTAGGAAAGGCAGCTAGGATCGCATTCCAAGTACAGAGGATGGCAGATGCAAAGGTGTGGAGGTAGGAATGGCTACGGTTTGTTCTGGAGACACTGAAAAAAACAATTTGGCAGGAGCTTAACCTTAGGCCTGGTCTATAGTAAGTGCTCGATAAATGGTAGCCATGGTGTGACCAGATGTCAGTCCCTGGTTGATGAATACATGAATGAAGGGGCCTGGTATTCTCAAGTTCATAAAGCCCTTTCCCACCTGGCCGCAGCCTTTGGGGAATACCCACACATCAGTGTCTGAGTCCCGTCCTTGTGACCTCCCGCTGAGGGACTTATTTCTCTCTCTAAGCCTGTTCCCTCCCCTGCAAAATGAAACTCGGGCAGCCTGCTGGCCCCAGGCCCCAGCAGGTAGGAGAGCCTCCGTCAGTGGGACAAGACGGGGCCGTGCAGATGTGTGCAGTGTCCCTGGGGGTTACTATTATTGCTGTTTGTTCCTTCACCAGCCTTGTGAGGAAGACGGGGGAGGCAATGAGCTCAGGGTTAGGAGGTCCACCAGGGATGGGCTCTGGGCTGGACCACTTCAGCTTGGCTGTCATTTCCTCGGTTATCCTTGCTGCTCCCAGCAACGTGGGGCCATTATTAACCCCACTTTACAAATGGGGAAACCGAGACTCCGGGATTCACCCAACCTCCTGCTGATACAAAGAAACCACGCTGGATTTGAAACTCCTTGTGTCTGCCACCAAAGCCAGTGTCCTTTCCGTGAGCTCATCCTGCAGAATGGGGCTTCGCCCAGAGAGGTTGAGGCACTTACTTGTGGCTGCTCAGTGAATTAAAGACATTCTTGGGCCCCACCGCCGTCATCTCACCTGCCTCCCGTGGGTCCAGCCCGTGCCCAGTACAGTGAGGGAACTCAAGGAGGAAGCCTGGCTGAATGGAGCCCCAAAGATCCAGAGGGCCACTGGTGGGCTACACAGTGGGCCCGCCTCTTGGGACTGTGGGTAGTTAGGGAGGTCTGCAGAAGGAGGAACCAGCAGACAAAGCAGAGCAGGAAGGGTGTTCCTGAGAGGGCACTGTGTGGGTAGCATCTTGAGCAGGTATGTGTGGGTATCCATATCCAGGGCAATGAGGGAAGAGACTGGCCAGGGTGGGGTAGAGAAGCTGATGGGGCGGGCCAGGTCACTGGAACTTGGGATCGCTTAAAATACTCCTAGGGCTTTTGCATTCTACTCCAGAAAGTGTCCTGATTTGTTTTAAAGTAATTTTGTTTTTAGCTCCTTGCCAGTTACTTAGTTTCTTCCAAAATCCTTTCCAGTCCAAGGAGACATGTCATATATATCCTGTGACATGCTCCTGCGACCCTGGGACACACAGGTCCCTGTTTGAGATACACAGCTGTAGGCAGTGGGGAATCATGGAAGGTTGTAGGCAGGGAGCGATGGTGTTTTAAAACATCAGTTCAGGGCTGGACCATGAGGAGGCAGTACCGCTGTGCAGATGGAGGTAATGAGGCCAAAGCTAAGCAGAGGTGAGGGCGGGGGTTCGGAGGGCTAGAGTTGGCATTGGTGGAATCTTTATCGAGAGTGGCCTTGACCCCCTGCCCATTCCCCTCCAGCAGGGGGTCAGGGCTGACTTGAATCTCCCCCACAGGTCATCACCTCGGGCATTGTAGCCATCGTGTTGTCACGCTACCTCCCCAGCACCCCCCTGGTATGTGGCACCTCATGGGATGGGGCGGTAGGGGTAGGGGCAGTGGCCACTCCCGAGGGCTTGGGCTGCTTGGAGAGGTTGAGGCTAACCCCTGCCAAGCCTGACATCCACTGACCAGTGGCCCCCCCCCCCCCCATCCAGCGCTGGACAGTGTTTAGCTCGAGCGTGGCCTGTGCTCTTCTCTCTCTGACCTGTGCTCTCGGCCTCTTGGCCTCGATCGCCATGACCTTTGCCACCCAGGGCCGGGCACTGCTGGCCGCCTGCACTTTTGGGAGCCCCGAAGTTCTGGCACTGGCACCCGACTGTCCCTATGACCCCACACGCATTTATGTGAGTGCTTAGGCCTGGGATGGCAGGGGTGGGGAAAGGGGGGACCCCAAGGTGCTCATCAGGGGTGGGAAGGGTTCTTGGAGTCCCGCCCTCTATCCCGAACCCCAAGCAGCCATCTCTGTCCCCTGTGCCCCCACAGAGCTCCAGCCTGTGCCTCTGGGGCATCTCGCTAGTGTTCTGCGTGGCGGAGAGCGTGTTTGCTGTGCGCTGTGCCCAGCTTGCCCACCAGCTGCTGAAATTGAGGCCCTGGTGGGGGGAAAGCAGCCACCACATGGTAAGGCCTGCTATCCCCTCCACAGCCCTGACCCCCCGATTTCCTGGGAGCCCCTGCTGGGGAGCCCAGGCAGGTCTGTCTCCACCCCTCTGGACGGGGCCCCCACCTTGAGAACTGGGGCAATAGTTTTCTCACCGGGACCAGAGGGAAAGGCCCACAGGGTCACAGAGGTCAGAAATCCCAGCTAAGTCACACAGCTGACATCTGGCTCTCCCATGGCCCCATGAGTCTTGAGGGAGGGGGAGGGGTATCTGGGCTGGAATTAGGGGCACTCCAAGGGTACCGCTTGACCCTTGCTTCAGGGGAAGGAGTGATGCCCCTTTGCCCAGCCGTCCCCTCCTCCCATTCCCTGGGTGTCCTGGAGGAGGAGACCCAGACCCAGCAGGCCTGGCAGCCTCCTATGTCTCCCCTAATGCAGGAGAGCCCAGGGCCCATGGAGGGCCAAGACCTGCTGAGCTGCACCGCCTCTGAGCCGCTGACCATCTGACAGCTGCTGCCGCCCCTGGGCCCCTGGGCCCCATAGCCACTGGAGTCCTGCAACCAAGTCTGCACCGTGACCTGGCCAGGATTCCTGGAGCCCGCCCAAGAGGACTCAGTGGCCCCTCAGGGACCCTGGTAGGGCTTTCAACCTCCTCCGCCAGCCACCCAGCCCATTGCACTGAAATGAGACTTTATTCTGAAGTTATTAAAAAGAACAGAGATGCTCCAGGTGGATGCATGCAGCAGGGGAGGGGGCTCGGCCAGGGGGCCTGTGCTTCTTTCCCACACAGGACGCTGTGGGTGGGGCTCCAGATGTGTCTGCCCATGTGTCTGTGGGCCTGTGTGCGTGTCTGAGAGAGGCAAAATACACAGAGGGCTCCGTGGTCTGTGTTCATCCAGTGCTGAAGGGTGGGTGGGTATTCGTGGGACTCACAGCTGGGGGGCTGGAATCCGAGGTTTTCCTTTTGCATCATGGCCTCCAGGCCAAGGAGAGCAGGCACAGGAAGGGTGGAGGCCCTCCTGCAGGGAAGGATGGCTCAAGGAAGCTTTTTCCTCAAGCCCCCCACGCCTCTGGAATCCTTCTCTCCCCTCCAAATAAAAAGACAGGCTCCTCACCTGGGCGTGATTCCCCCTTCCAGCCAGGCTGCGGTCTACAAGGTTGGGGGAGCTTGCTCCCTGGTTGGGGGAGGGAAGTCTGGCCTCGTGGCTGTGTGTGTGTCGGGGGGAGGTTGGAGGGAGGCATGGGTGAAGTCCTATCTAGGTAAGGGAGGGCTGACTCTGAGGCGCACACCAAGCCAGAGCCTGTGTCTCTCTATCATTGCCGAAGGGTGATATTGCCTCTTGGATTGGGAGGTGCTAACTGCTTGCTTGCTTGGACCTTGCGGGGGCTGCAGGGTTCCCTTCTCCATAGGCCCCCCAGAGTGCAGACCCTGAGGGGGGCAGTCTGACCCCCAGCCTGGATAGACACAAGGGAGAGGAAGCTGAGAGCCGAGAGAGGGCCCGTGAAGGCAGGGAGGCGGGGGAAGCTGGCTCCTCTCGTTCAGAACTGGGAGGCGCTGCTGGGGTCGCACTGCAGCAGACGCACGATGGACGGGTCGCTTTTGGCCCCGCGGATGAACTCCTCCAGGGACAGCTTGCCTGCGGGGCGAGGGGAGCAGTGATGGAGGAGAAGGCGGCGGCTAGGGGAGGCAGAGCGGAGCCGCGGGAGAGGAAGGGGAGTGGCGCCCGCCCCCCCCCCCCCCCCCCCC